TCCCTGGTGTGCGGGGGGGGGCGCAGCTAGTGCGCACCCCCAGCAGACTAGGCTTTTCTCGCTGCGGAGGACGCGGGCGGCAGGACCGCGGCACGTCTGGGTGGTCCCGCCGCCCGTATCCTCCGGGGCGAGAAAAGCCCTGTTCATAAGTAGGGATCCAACATAAGTCGGATCCACGTAACCTGGGGACTGCCTGTAATGGGAACTGTCTAGCAGCACTACAGCTGGCAAGACCCTGCATTCAGAAGGTCTGGACAGACATAGGGGAGTAAAGCCCGGACCTGTGAGATACTATTTCAGGAATTTCATGAAGCCTCAGAAACCAGGCTCTATGCAGAGAAGTTCTTAATATGGGGTGTGTCTGTGGCAGTGGAGGTGAGCAAAATAAACTTGCAAAGATTTTATAGCCTTCTAGCCTGAGAGTGGAACTGATCAATTAAACAGTAATAAGTCACCAGGTTCAGATGGTGTTCACTAAAGAGATTTTCAAGAACTCAAATATGAACTTGTAGAACTGCTACCTGTGGTATGCAACTTCTCTTAAATTGTACTCTGTATCAAATGACTGGAGAGTAGCTAAGGTAACATTTTGTTTTTAAAAAAGGCTCCAGAGGCTACCCTGGAAATTACAGGCCAGTGAGCTTAACTTCAGTACCAGGGCAGATTAGTTGAAACTACAGTAAAGAAAAGAACGGTTACTTACCTGTAACTGTTGTTCTTTGAGATGTGTTGCTCATGTCCATTCGAAGTAGGTGTGCGCACCGTGTCTTCCGGAGCGTTTTCCCTAGCGGTATCCGTAGCGCGGGCAGGGTGCCCCCTGGAGTGGCGCCTCCATGACGGGACATAAGTACCCCTGCCGGCGCTGCCCCTCCTCAGTTCCTTCTTGCCGGACACTCCGACAAAGGGGAGGTAGGAGGGTGGGAGTCGAATGGACAGGAGCAACACATCTTGAAGAACAACAGTTACAGGTAAGTAACGTTTCTTTTCTTCGAGTGGTTACTCATGTCCATTCGAAGTAGGTGACTTCCAAGCCAACCCCACATCACAGAGGAGGGGTCGGAGCAGTCAGACAACAAGAGTCATGCAAACGTTGAATAAACCCAACAATTTATTCGACCAGGTAAACACAGAAAAGGCAAGTGCCAAGAAACCATGATAACCAAAATATTTACATCACAGAATTGAGAACTGTGGAGCCCACTCTTGCGTCCTCCCTGGCCTGTTGTGCTAGCGCGTAGTGCGCTGTAAAGGTATGGAGGGACGACCATGTGGCCGCCCTGAAAATCTCAGTAATTGGTATCTGAGCCCCGAACGCTACCGAGGACACCTGCGCCCTGGTAGAGTGCGCTGTAACCCAGGGTGGAGTCTTATTGGCCAGTATGATACACTTTGCAACCCAGTTTGACAGCCTCTGGGTCGAAATAGGTAACCCTTTTACCCTGTCCCTGAAAGCAATGAACAGCTGTTGGGATCTGCGAAAGGGCTTGGTCCTATCAATATAGAACACTAGCGCTCGCCTAGCATACAGGGAATGGAGCACTTGCTCCTTGGGGGAGGCATGGGGTTTCGGGAAGAAAATCGGGAGGTAAATTTCCTGAGACAAGTGGAATGGTGACACCACCTTCGGGAGAAAGGCCAGGTGAGGGCGGAGCCTCACATTATTATCTGAAAACAGAAGGTAGGGCGGATCTATAGTCAACGCCCTCAGTTCGGAAATCCTACGAGCTGACGTAATGGCCACAATGAAAGCAACCTTCCAGGAGAGGTGCTTCAGAGAACACGTAGCCAACGGCTCAAAAGGGGGCGACATAAGTTTGCGTAACACCATGTTGAGGTCCCATGAGGGGAGCGGGGCCCTAACTGAAGGGTACAATTTTTCCAGACCCGTAAGGAATCTTTTAACCACTGGGTCCGAGAAGAGAGAAACTCCTGCTGTACCCACATAGAAGGCGGAGAGAGATGCCACATGGACTTTAATAGAAGAGATAGAAATGCCATTAGACCGAAGGTTGAAAAGATAGTCCAAAATGGCTGGGACCGGGGCACTGACGGGCGCACTCCCCTTCAGGACGCCCAAGACGAGAAGCGCCGCCACTTGGCAGCGTATGACCATCTGGTAGAGGGTTTCCTACTACTGAGGAGCACCATCTGAACCTCCTGGGAACATTCCCTTTCCGGTTGGTTCAGCCATGGATAAACCAGGCCGTTAGGTGGAGAGACCTGAGGTTTGGGTGAACCATGGTCCCCTCCATCCCAGGGTTGAGTCAAAAGGTCTCGGACTGGAGGGAGCGTTACAGGGTCCTCGGTGAGCATGTCCACCAGGATGGGGAACCAGAACTGTCTGGGCCACCTGGGGGCTATGAGGATGACCGTGGATTGGAAGGTCCTTGCCCTGGTCAAAACCCCAGAAATTAGTGGAAAGGGGGGGAAGGCATAAAGGATGCCCTC